AAGACAAGATCATATTTACTAATCTTCATTTGATTAACAGCACCAATTCTATCTACTGCAATATTGAACCAAATTTTTGGTATACCAAGTCATCATCTACTAGAAGAACTTTTGGAGGAACATACCAGACTGGTACAAACGTACTATAGTGAACGCGCATACTATTAGAAGCATATTGTGATGTATTTTCAACACATAAAGCATTTGCGTTTGAAGCGGAAATGATATTTGATGACGACAAAGCATGCGATTGTTTGGCTTATATACACCAAATGTGTTGTTGATTAGTGGTCACAAAAACGGTAACCGGTTAACTATAAATATTAAGCGTACATACGTATCTAAATTTGGTGCGTTTACATTTCTTCTAACAGTAGGTGATGTCACAAAATAATTTATGAATTGTGCATCAATACCATGTAGTGAGCTGATGGTCGCACGGGAAGTTGCATTTTGTGTATTCTGCATGTTAATTTCATAAAGTTGCTGCATGTTAATTTTATCATGTTGAAACCATGATTGTTCGTCTGATGCTTTGATCCTGACTCTCTTATTTTCAGGCGATGAACTAATCAAAGTTGATAATGTTGCTTGGTCATTATTATTTTTATTATTTGTTTATGAAATTTCACACTTCCTTTTTTTTGTCGCTAAATATTTACAACACATTTAATTATTAGTTTACATTTATACAGAAGAAATTGCGACAGATTAGCTTAGAGACTTAATTATTAGTTATGCTATATTAACAATTCCTTTTTTTGATGATTATCTTCAAAAGAATTAAATGTATTTGAGCCTTCGTTTGCATCATAATCTTCATTAGAAAGTATTTCATCAAAAAGTTCAGTATATTTATGTTATTGGTAATAAATTCAACATATATTTCTGATATATTCTTAAACTTAGCTAAAATTTCATTCATTGCTGGACGCATGTCCGGATCAGAAGACTAGCATTTTTTATAAAGGTTTAAATAATTCTTAGACGTGCCTTCAATAGATTTTTCTCTTTCATTGTTTGAAATTGCTTGGCTTAAATATACAAAATTGTAATTATTGAATGAAAGAATTCTGCTTGTAAGTTCTCAGAGTAATACACCCAAACCGTAAATATCAGATTTCTCTTTGCGTTCAATTTTTATTCCATGTTAAATAAAGCATTGTGGTTCTATGTACGCCTACATACCAACCATATTATTACCTGCACCTGAAATCAAAGCAGTAGTATTATTAAATCGGCTTGATATTCCAAAGTCCGTGATTAAAGCCTTTCTATCATCAATCAATATATTCTTAGAATGCTATTGTAATTTATAATAAACAATTATAGACTTAAAATTCAGTGCAGAAATTAGAGCAATTAAATAATCAAAACTCACTAGATCC